TTAATAGTGACAAACGTATTTAATAATGACAAACGTATTTAATAGTGACAAACGTATTTTATAGTGACAAACGTATTAATAGTGACAAACGTATTTAATAGTGACAAACGTATTTAATAGTGACAAACGTATTAATAGTGACAAACGTATTAATAGTGACAAACGTATTTAATAATGACAAACGTATTTAATAGTGACAAACGTATTTTATAGTGACAAACGTATTAATAGTGACAAACGTATTTAATAGTGACAAACGTATTTAATAGTGACAAACGTATTAATAGTGACAAACGTATTAATAGTGACAAACGTATTTAATAATGACAAACGTATTTAATAGTGACAAACGTATTTTATAGTGACAAACGTATTAATAGTGACAAACGTATTATGGTGACAAACGTATTAATAGTGACAAACGTATTAATAGTGACAAACTGTGTTAATATTGACAAACGTATTTAATAGTGACAAACGTATTTTTATAGTGACAAACAGCCATTAATAGTGACAAACGTATTGACTAGATATCAAGTGAGAGATTAGGTACCTAATAACCTAACCTTATATTATTATGGTACAGTAAATACGCACAACCTTATAGCATTAGCCACGGTACACTAAATTGCTTTTACACACTATCAGAGGTAGCTTGTACACTATAGATAACTTGTACATTAGTTAATCGCAAAGGCTCAGGTCCTGATCTTATTTGTACTTCAAGTTTTTTGTACTAATTTCTACATTATTGATGATATTGATGAAGAAGGGTGCACAATGAACAAGCCATGAGAGGAAAATCAGGTAACTTACCATTTTCATTCTAGAAGGCGAAGCGTCATGCATCAGAGAGAGAGAGAGAGAGAGAGAAAGAGAGAGAGAGAGAACTGACGTCATCCATCTTGTTTTGAGTTGACGATATGGCGGAAATGAAGACATGAGGAAGAAGGGGGAAGGAAGAGGGGGGTGAGGAGGTGAAGGGGGGAGAAGGAAATGGAGGGGCACAAAGCAATGTCCTTCTCCTATAACGTAGTCAACTCCTACCTCTGACGTCAGCACTTCGTTAGTAATGTAAAAACAAAAGAAGCGCGTTCCACATACCACAGTAACCATAAGAAATGTTTTGTGATGTTGATGATTAATGTTTTAGTATAGAGAAGTACAACATGGCGGCTACTACACTCAAATACCATTAACAACATTCAACATTCAGCAACAGGGTCGACTAGAGGTGCCCCGCTATTTAATTAAGAAAAAACAAAAACAAACCAAAAAATATCCAGAATTGTACCTTATTATCATTGTTATTTTAGGTTCATATGGACAATATTTTCCAGATCATATAAGAACATAAGGAGTCTGCAATAGGCCGGTTGGCTTGTGCATGGCAGCTCCTGTCGAGAGTTACTACCACTCTCTATCATCCATGAATCTATCTAGCCTCCTATTAAAACTTTCCAGCGTTCCAGCACTTACTACAAAGTTGCTAAGCTTGTTCCACTCGTCCACCACCCTATTTGTGAACCAGTTCCTTCCTATCTCCCTCCTAAACCTAAACTTATCCAACTTGAATCCGTTGCTACGAGTCCTATTCTGCTCGGATATTATAAGAACTTTATCTATATCCCCTTTATTGATTCCTTTCACCCACTTGAATACTTCTATCATATCTCCCCGCACTCTTCGTCTTTCTAGGGAATGCAAGTTTAGTTTCTTTAACCTATCTTGATATGGAAGGTTTCTAAGATTAGATACTCCAGCTTATTTCACCCAATGATTAAATACCCTAATGTTACTTGGGTTAGGTTAGGTTAGGTTAGGTTTTGTCGCGGATAAAAAGGAAGGATTCAAAGGTGTTCTCTCATCCCTAATTAAAAAAAAAGAATTACTTGAACATTAGCCATCGTAGCTTAATTCACCATAAGGGTAACCTAACCTAACCTAAAATAACCTAGCCTAACCGAGCCATTGGGGAGATTGGAACCTATACTTTCTCCTTCCTTGACTTCCTGAAGGAGTACCACAACACCGAGACTTGGGCAGGAGGTCAGGAGTCATTCAGGAACCAGGAAGGAGGGAGGAAGGAAAGTGAAGACGGTGTGGAGTCCTTGGCCCCGAGAAGGAAGTTGTTCCCTGACAAACACAAGAGGGCGTAGATCCTCCCTCTAGTGGGTCTTGCAGCTCTACTGACCTTATGACCCACACTTACCTCAGGGGCGGCTGGTGGTTGTGGTGGCTGTTGTGGTGGTGGTGATTATATTATTGTTGTTGTGGTGTCGGGTGGTGCTGATGATGGTGATGGTTGTTGTGGTGGTGGTGGTGGTGGTTGTTGTTGTTGTGGTGGTTGTTGTGGTGGTGGTGGTGGTTGTTGTTGTTGTGGTGGTTGTTGTTGTGGTTGTTGTTGTGGTGGTGGTGGTTGTTGTTGTTGTGGTGGTTGTTGTTGTGGTGGTGGTGGTTGTTGTTGTGGTGGTTGTGGTGGGTGGTGGGTGGTGGTGGTGGTGGTGGTTGTGGTTGTTGTGGTGGTGGTGGTTGTTGTGGTGGTGGTTGTGGTGGTGGTGGTTGTGGTGGTGGTGGTGGTTGTTGTTGTTGTTGTTGTGGTGGTGGTGGTTGTTGTTGTTTTGGTTGTTGTTGTGGTTGTTGTGGTGGTGGTGGTTGTTGTTGTGGTGGTTGTGGTTGTGGTGGTTGTTGTGGTTGTTGTGGTGGTGGTGGTTGTTGTTGTGGTGGTGGTGGTAGTGGTTGTATATACCTCTACTGCCACGGTGTCGTTTGGGTCATCACTGTATCATCTGTCCACCTCTTTTCCTATCAACCTGAAGACTCTACTCCAGTGAGAGGAAGAATAAGTCGGGTTACCTGAAGGCTAGACACCCCAGCTTATTTCACCTTGAAGATTAACCTAACGCTAACCTAACCTAACCTATCCTAACCTAACCTAACCTGGAATAGAGATTATTATTATTATTATTATTATTATTATTAGTAGTAGTAGTAGTAGTAGTAGTATTAGTAGTAGTAGTAGCAGTAAAATTTTAATTATTTGAGTTAAATTTATTGAATAAGTAACAAGTATAAACAAACTAGGTCTTATTTATTACACAAGGTCGTAAACTAATATAATATACGGTAATACAACGCCTTGCTGCTACCTGTCGTTGGTAACACTTGATAAAGTTGGGTTTCCCTGTTGGTTACACTGCTGCCTGTCAGGGTTATCAACGCCACTTAATACACGTATCTATCACAGGTAAAAAATATACCTGGACATGAAGCCTCGCACCTGACCACAGTAATTTATTGTCCACAGGTAACAAACACAACAATAACAACAACAACAACAACAATAAGAACAACATCAGCAACAAAAACAATAATAAAAACACCACAACAACAACAACAACAACAACAACAGAGAGGTGTATCCATCTTACTGTAACTGTTGGAAAGTCTTGAGTTAACTGAGAGACATCCTTGAGCACCAACACTCTATGTATGTGTGTATGTATGTGTGTATGTGTGTATGCTGATGTAGTGGAACCGACGTACAAACAGACAGACAGGTTAAATCCGAATAGTTAAATGTGATAGTGTGTAATAATAATAATAATAATAATAATAATAATAATAATAATAATAATAATAATAATAATAATAATAAACGGTTTATTAATAGAGTTGCAGCCGGTGGCTGAAAATATACAGACTTACATTTGATTTAGACATAATGATATAATATGCGTTGAATACATTTACAGGGCTGTACAGTACATAAATCAGTTGTTTATTATTTTAACAATAGATGGGATGGTGCTGTTCTTATATCTATTGGTGTGGGCTCTTATGGGCTGAATTTTGTTGTAGTGGCGGACTGTGCGAGGTGGGTGGGGGGCTGCTGGTGGCAGGAGGTGGCGATGACGAGGGTGGTGCATTAGTTGGCTGCCAAACCTTTCCAGTGCTTGGTGGTGGAGGTCACTGAGGGATGGCATTTCCAGGGTGGAGAGAGCGTTGGTGTAGCCGGAGTATTCTGCGCCGAGCATGATTCTGCAGGCCCTTTTCTGTACCTTCTCTAGCCGGCGTTGTTGGGTGGAGTTGAGAGAAGACGATCAGGCTGGTGACGCATAAGTTAATGGAGAGAATAAAGGCGTTGTAGATGGTCCTCAGCTCTGGCGTGGGTGTCCCAAGTGACCTAAGTCGTCGTAGCATGTAGAGATGGTACGAGGCTGCCTTGACTGTGTTATTTACATGGGCCTTCCAGTCCAGTTTGTGGTCTATGGTAACACCCACGAATTTGGCAGACTGCACCAGCTGGAGAGGATGGGCACCCACTGTGACTGCTGGAGCTTGCACTGGAGTGGTGGCGGTATTGATGTGCATGACTACGGTTTTGGTGTTGTTGTTTGTGATGGTGTGTGTGTGTGTGTGTGTTTGTTTTTGATTCCGGCTAATCTGTATTATAAGAGCTAAATTACTCAAAATTATAAGCATACACACACACACACACACACACACACACACACACACACACACACACACACACACACACACTATAGTCACTACAGTATAATAAGAGATAAAAAACTACATTTAATTAAGAATGTTTATCTGTTCCAATGTAATTAGCATATTTTTAACTCATTTACGCCGAGTGGATACAGTTCTAACCTCACCTAACTCGTGCTGGTGTGTGTGACTGAAGAGCGCTGATGCAACAGTACTTCATGACTGTCTCACGTGATTAGTTCTGTGTGTGTGTGTGTGTGTGTGTGTGTGTGTGTGTGTGTGTGTGTGTGTGTGTGTGTGTGTGTGTGTGTGTGTGTGTGTGTGTATGAAGCAACTGAACCTCATTATTGGTTTTCTCTCATCTCCAGGCTACCACCACTACCACCACTACCACCACTACCACCACCCCATCATCACCACCATTACTAGTACCATTGCCACCACCACCACCACCACCGCCGTCATCACCACATTAACCAATATTCTCCTCTCTCCCTCAGACCACCACCACCACCACCCCCATGTTGGCCACCATGTCGCTGTCGGAGGCCATTGTGACGTCATCGAGTGGGCGGGAGGAGGCGGGACTGAGGTCTCAGATGGGCGGGGCAGTCAGTGAGGCCACGCCCACAGCTCACACCCCAGCGCTAGGGACGTCCCACTCAGCAGGCCTCGACCCTGCGGCCAACAGGACCACCACCTCCAGCAGCAGCGCCCAGCACCACCACCACCTCCCCGCCCTCACCCCAGAGCTCCTTTCCCCAGCCGATCTTTCCCCAGGACACCTCTCAGCGTCCCCACCCCTCTTCTCCCCACCTGCACCCCCAGTATATTCCCCAGTCTCCCCCGTTAGCGGTGGGAGATCAGATTCCTCCACGAATTTCTTCTTTCCGAGTGTTGGGGGGCCGGGATTTAGCGCCCCCCACTCTTCCTCTTCCACCCTCTCCACCACCTGCCGCGCCTCCCCCGAGAGTGAGATCATCAAGAACAACCTGCTGGGGTCTCGACACAGGGACACTCGGTATAACTCCGTGGCAGAATCCGAGGCTGGCTCAGTGTCTGACTGCACGGAAGGAGAACGATCACCCACACTGCAGGTACGTGAAGGACGATGGTTGTGTTCTCTGTGGTCATGGGTTATCAGTACCTGTTTTTATCATTTTACATATACATACAGATAAAACCACAAATCAACATACATATATACTTAAACACATGACAACCAACCACATGTGTTCTTAAGCATAAACTCAAATGCACAAACACACAGAATTTAAGGAGTTGTGCTCTTGTTATCGTGTATGGGATAGATATGAAGAACAGTTAGTTGTTGAGGTTCCATTAATTTATGGCGTACTGGAGCTTCGGGTGACGTGGTATAGCAGGATCCCGGGAGAGCGAAAGTGAGATACAGGAACATTGCGAGATATTGAACACATTTCATTTCCTCAAACTTGGAACTAGACAGAGTGGCCGTGGGAGGTGTTATGAGTGTTTGAAATACTTCTCTTAAGAGATTTATTCTAACAAATTGGGATGATTTGGATTTCCTAAAACATGGAGAGGAGGGGGATAGTCAAATAGTTTCTCTCCCTACCCTTTGGAGCATAGAGGGTATAAAGGAGCATAGTTAAAGCATTTTTCTCAGACAGTTGAAGCTTCCATCACCCAAATGCCCTTTTATACAGGGACAATTAATGGATCCAGAGCGAGCATGGCGCTGGACACCGTGATGGGTAGTAGTGCCACAATGATGAAGTGTTGGTGGTATTGGTGTAAGGCGGTGATAGCGAGTTGATAAGGTTGTGTGGCTGCCTCACCACCACCTGTGTGTGTGTGTGTCGTGGGGGAGGGGGGACGAGCATTTCTCTCACTCCTGTCGCGTCCTCATCGGGATCGGTCGTCCGCTTTACCTCTCAATTCTGTTTAATGCAACGACAACAACTCCTCCCTAACGACGAGTCAACGCAGTCTAGTTTATGAACAGTGGATAGAAACCACTTATCTTTTTTATTATTAGATCGATAGTGAAGCGACTGTTAATCTTAGGACGGTAACTAGTAACAGGGTGTTTGTTTTTAGATTTCCTCCGACAACAGTGAAAGAACGTGAAGCGATCTCTCTCTCTCCGGTGTTCAGGACGACAGAGGTATAATGCTGAATGGTTAATAGAGACGAGAGTTGCTTGTGTGGTGGACATTAATGGTGATAGTGATGGTGTGTTGTGGTGGGATGATGGTACCTGTGGTGTGTTATGGTGCGGTAGTGATAGTGACCATAGTGTGTTATAGTAGTAGTGATGGTGATCATAGAGGTCATAACATCATATGTAATGGCGACTGTGACCAAGGGGGGTTAATATTAGGTGCCATAGTGTAGTTAAGTGATAGTGATGATGGTGATTATAGATGGTGATTGTGGTAGAGAGTTTAAGGAAAATGCTGAATAAGTGTTACGATGATTTTCTCCACCTCCCTCTACCCCCCCCCGCCCACCCCCCTCTCCTCCTTGTTGGTTGTTTGCGTTAGATTACCTGCAAGAGATAAACACACACACACACACACACACACACACACACACACATACACACACACACACACACACACTTGAGACAGGTACTCCAGCAGCGTTTCCAAGTAACTTTATGTGATCCAAATTTAGAAAACTTAAGTTACACATAAGTAACAAATCAATAGACTCCTAAGTAACACATCATAAGACACTTAATTAACGCATTACTAGACACTTAAGTAACGCATTTATTAGACACTTAAGTAACGCATTTAATAGACACTTAAGCAACACATTTAATAGACACTTAAGTAACACATCAATAGACACTTAAGTAACGTATTTAATAGACACTTAAGTAACACATCAATAGACACTTAAGTAACGTATTTAATAGACACTTAAGTAACACATCAATAGACACTTAAGTAACGTATTTAATAGACACTTAAGTAACACATCAATAGACACTTAAGTAACGTATTTCATAGACACTTAAGTAACACATCAATAGACACTTAAGTAACGCATTTAATAGACACTTACGGAGCACATCAATGGAACAATCAAGTAACGAGTAACTTTTTACCTCTTCCCCGTCACTGTTCAGTAAATGATCCGTAACTAAACCGTCACTTCTCCGTCACATTTCTGTCATTTATTCTTCCCCCCCCGTCACTTTTTCTTTCTCGTCTCCGTCACTCACCCGTCACTTCTTGTCTTCTACGTCATTTACCCATCAAATTTTCTCTTCTCCGTCACTTACCCGTCAATTTTTCTCTTCTCCGTCACTCACCTGTCACCTTTTCTCTTCTTCGTCACTCACCCATCACCTTTTCTCTTCTTCTCCGTCACTCACCCGTCAATTCTTCTCTTCTTCGTCACTCACCCGTTACTTCTCTTCTCCGTCTTTCACCCGTCACCTTTTCTCTTCTTCTCCGTCACTAACCCGTCACTTCTCCGTCACTCACCGTCAATTCTTCCCTTCTCCGTCACTCACCCGTCACTCTCCCTCCTCCCGCAGGTGTACTCCCCGGAGCTGGACCGTGAAGGGTTCTCAGGGGGGCGCCCACCCCAGCCCCTCGAGATGTTTAACATGGATTTGCACTACGAGGCTGCCAAGTGAGTACCCTTGAGTGTTCAGTGTTCATCAAGTGTTCATTTATGAGTTTTTGTTCAGTGTTTGTTGAGTGTTCATCTGTGTGTGTGTGTGTGGTCATACGTGTATGTCATCTATGGGTGTTCATCTACAGGTGTTCATATTAATAGTGTTCTTTCTGAAATGTTATCTGTTCAATGTTCATCCACAGGTATGTATCAATAACGTCCTTTTTTATTATGAAAGTGTTCAACGAATAACATTTTTTTTGGTGTTCAACGGCTGAAGAACGATACATTACTGAGTTATGGGAAAGAACCGCAACTTGTGTTTAGGTTCTCATAATTCTTACTCTAGAACCGCAACTTGTGTTTAGGTTCTCATAATTCTTACTCTAGAACCGCAACTTTTGTTTAGGTTCTATACGCCATCAAGGTTATTTACTTCATCTATGAGTCTTCTGCGCGTTCTTTACACTTAATCTCCCTGTTTGATTCATATCGACAGTAAGCGGCAGAGAGTCAGATATACAACCGCTAACTTTATTCTTGTGGTAATGCCATATACATCTGTAACAAGTACACAAAAAAGACGCAAATAATTCCCCAATCATGTCCATACTGTTTATAAGTGTAGAAGCTTCGACTAGCAGAGATAAAATAAACCCGTTGTGTGTTTGGTGTAGATATAAGACTAGCGGCCATAAGAGCAGTCATGAAGAAAGAAGTGGCACGTTCCTATAGGAGAGACTCAATACTGATATGTGTATTAAGAACAGCGCCTCAGTGGCAATGTAATCACAGTAATATTTCACACACTTTTATGTTCAAGCTTGATGAGGCGATCGGGAGTCTATAGTCAGTGGGCATAAAAGATCCTACGAGAAGGTATATGATCTCTTATGCCCCAAGAACCTATATACTACGTACTGTACACCGGCTACTGGGGCGTAGACCTATCACCCCCATCACCTCTGCCTTCCCTGTGCCAATGGGGGATGGGAGCTGATTCGGGTTTTTCTCATTTAATTCGCGCTGTCTCCCAGGCTCCATTGCGTTCTAAAGGCGGGTAGCGGATATTACTACGCGAGAAGCCGACTGTGGTAACGCGTGAATGGGTTTCACCGGCAAAGCAAATACAAGGTACGGCGGCCAGTCCTTGAAGACTTTCCTACTTGCGTCTCCACGTTTTCATGTAGAGGATATTTCATTTTAGTATTTTTTTTATATGTTTAGAAGATCTTCGATTGCATAAACCAGTAGTTTATACTTTTTACATGAGGTTGTGTACTTGTGGTGTGTTGATGGATATATGAGCGATAGGGGTTGGGTGTAAACGGGACTGCCCAGTATGGGACAAAAGGCCCGCTGCAGTTTCCTCCATTCTTATGTTCTTAAGACTGAAGGTATGGAGAGTCAGTGTTGGCTTGCGCTTCTCGCTCGTCACTTGTCTCTCTGTTACTTTCTTCGTTTGGGTAAAAATAAATCCTGGTTTGTTTTACTTTTCAGTTTTTGGAATTGAGAAACTAGTCCATGCTCAAGTTAACTGTGATAATTTATCTTCGATTTATTAATTACTTCAACCATTTTCTTCAAAGGCTTCGTCAATCTTTAAATCAATTTGTTTATCGCATTTCTTTTCAATCTCTGTCTCGGTCTCACTTCTCAACCTTGGCGCGCTGTTTTGTTCGTTTCTGTCTTTTTATAATGAAGAAATTATCAACAACACTCAGAATTATCTCTTATGTCAACATTTCCGACAAAAGAAAGAAATCCCCCCAAAACAGCATTTTCCTCCGTGTTAGGATATAAACAAAACCTCAAAAGAACACTAAACGACACGACTCTTCTCCCAACACCTCCAGCACCACAAATAACGCCTCGATTCCCTTAAATCCAGTCTTTAAACCCACTCCTAATCTCCTACGGGATAACATATCGAGCGTCAATTGTCTGTATCGCTCTTAGTATCTCCAAACTTTACTGTCTCGATGGCCATAATCATTCTCACAAACGTTGTTCTCTCGGTTTATCGCTGGCATCATTCATTTCTATCGCCGTGTCTATCTCTTCTATCTGGTCCGCGATACCAACATCCTTCCGACAAGATGGAGAGAAATGGTTTGGAAGACGCGAGCCTCGGTAGAACGAACGTGGAAGACAAGATGGATAAGAAGAGGAATGAAACAGGAGGAAGAGGAGGAGGGGTGAAGAAGTGGATAAGAGTATGTGGTTGCGCCTTGAGGGTCGTGTTGTGGGAAGATCAACTGTAAAGCGATTAGCTGAAAGGAAATGTGCGTGAAGTGTGTGTGTGTGTGTGTGTGTGTGTGTGTGTGTGTGAAGGTATATATGTTTGTCTGTGTACGTGTTGGTATAATGGTTAACTGATAATAAACGATTCATTAAAATTATAACAGATAATATACTAATAACACAGTGGCCTATACAGTACATAACAAAAGTTCTCAGTACACATAACAACAAGGAGTGAACACAATGGATGGAGTGGAACTGTTCTTGTATAGTGTTCAGTACATCGTGTTATGAACTGGATCAAGTTGTTGGGTCGAATAGTAATTAGTGGACGAGGGATCTCAGGTGGCAGAAAATGGCGGTATCGAGGATGATGATGATGATGTGTGTGTGTGTGTGTGTGTGTGTGTGTGTGTGTGTGTGTGTGTGTGTGTGGATGTTTGAGTATGAGCCTTGGTACACATCCAAAGGCACTCGCGAACGAATGTACTTATGTGAATGAAGAAGATTTAAGTAGTGTAGATGTGATAAGATAGATAGATAGATAGATAGATAGATACTGTAGATAGATAGATAGATAGACAGATAGATTGGTGGCATGATACCCAACTGGGACAAATATCCTCTGCTGCGCTAGTAAGATATTTGCCTTAATTTTTAACAACCAATAACCAATCCCTCTGCAATCACAACCAGACTTCAATCACAAACATCATTAAATATTTTTTATTTTTTTAGGCTAGAGAAACCACCAAAATCACAAGAAAACTGGTTAGATATTTTTTGGTTATTATTATTGTTAATATAAATAACACCCAATGACAATAACAACAATAACAACCATAAAGTTATCTTAAATGATGTTATATGACAAGAAAACGAAACACCAAGGATAAAAATTATGACAAACAAAAAAATGTATTTGTAATTCAACGGATGAGCGATACTGGAAGATAAAAACATACTAAGGAAAATAAATGACTAAAGAAAAAAAATGTATACTGTACTAGTTATTTTGACCTTTGGATTGAGTGCGTTGATGTAAGTGCGTGGGGATTGAGTGCGTTGGATTGAGTGCGTTGGGATTGAGTGCGTTGATGTGAGTGCGTTGGATTGAGTTTTTGTCTTTATGATTTTAACTGAAAATAGTAACAAAGAAAAAAAAAATCCTAAAATTAAAAAAAAAATACCTTGTCAGTTAAGTAAATTCGAATTCAAACTTCAATTCAAATTCAAATTATCCCCTCACATAACGATTTCCTAACGATTTTAACGGTTTTAACGGTTATATGTAAATTTTGATTGGTGAATGTTAGTTAATTAAGGACTACCGATGACACAGTACCTTAGGGTGCCCGTCTAATGAGGTTAACTGTTATCTACGGTTATCACTCAAAATCAAGGTAGCTAAGATTACAACAGATAACACTGCTGCTCACCTGACGCCCTAACATCCTCGTTAAACTGTCTGTATGTCTCGTTAAACAGTCTATCTCTCCTTAAACAGTCTGTATGTCTCGTTAAACAGTCTATCTCTCGTTAAACAGTCTGTATGTCTCGTTAAACAGTCTGTATGTCTCGTTAAACAGTCTGTATGTCTCGTTAAACAGTCTGTATGTCTCGTTAAACAGTCTATCTCTCGTTTAACAGTCTGTATGTCTCGTTAAACAGTCTGTATGTCTCGTTAAACAGTCTGTATGTCTCGTTAAACAGTCTATCTCTCGTTTAACAGTCTGTATGTCTCGTTAAACAGTCTGTATGTCTCGTTAAACTGTTTTTAGCTTCACAAACCTTTCTTTCTTTCCTCGTTGGACAAATCCACGTTAAGCGGTCTCTAAGAAGAAGTTAGGTTAGGAGAAAGGCATGTTAGTTTAGGTTAGATTAAGTAAGTTAGTTTAAGCACTAGACAGATAGATAGATAGATAGATAGATAGATAGATAGATAGATAGACCGATAGATAGATAGATAGATAGATAGATAGATAGATAGATATTTATACATATATGTGTAGTCATTCAAATAGATAGATAACTAAATCGATAGATAGATAGATTTAGACAGACAGATAGATAGAGGTGATCATTCAGATAGATCAATAGATGGGTGGATAGATAGATTGATAGATGGATAGAGAGAAAAGCAAATGGACAGCTGGGTAGAGGAAGGCCAGTGAAGAGGGCGTCGTGTTCTGCAACTGCTAGGATAAGGTGCCATGTCCTGATATATGTGTCCTAGAGTATGTGTTCGGGCCTGTACTAACCTTCCATGTGTCCTAGAGTATGTGTCCTGGCCTGTACTAACCTTCCATGTGTCTTAGAGTATGTGTCCTGGCCTGTACTAACCTTCCATGTGTCCTAGAGTATGTGTCCTGGCCTGTACTAACCTTCCATGTGTCCTAGAGTATGTGTCCTGGCCTGTACTAACCTTCCATGTGTCCTAGAGTATGTATCCTGGCCTGTACTAACCTTCCATGTGTCTTAGAGTATGTGTCCTGGCCTGTACTAACCTTCCATGTGTCCTAGAGTATGTGTCCTGGCCTGTACTAACCTTCCATGTGTCCTAGAGTATGTGTCCTGGCCTGTACTAACCTGTGTCCGAGAGAGAACATTATTTTCCTGTCGTTAAATTTTAATATAATATTTTTTTTCCCCAGTGATAACTTACTCGTACGTATCAACAGGATGTCACTCCTCACTTAGAATAATAAAATAAAATACCTTGGTGTAATTTTAACAAGATTTTTCACAATGTCACTGAGATTGAAAATAAC